ATTTATTTTCAGTATAATTAATTAATATTCATGATTTGAGTTTAAGATATTATTTCAATTAATTAATGTTATTTTCTTAATATATTAAATGTTGTGTATGAGGGCTTTATGTATTGATGGGCCTGGCATGGTCTAATGGTTAGGGTATGTGGTTTGTGTACCATTAACACGTAAATGCCCTTTGCACTTTTTGACTGCGAGTCTAGTATCAGAGTGATAGTCAAAACTTTTATTTTGTAAAAGTGGGTTCCTCGTTATCTAGATGTGTTGTAATGTGCAGTACATAACACGGTTATCCTTCCAAAAATAAAATGAGTGGATAAAATTGTTTAAAACTTGACAAGAATTTTGAAGAAGTATGTAGTTTGAGAAAAATAAAATATTTAATTAAGAAATAAAAATATGTACATACTTTTAAACTCTTCATTCAATAACCTTAAATATCTTCTTTGGGCCATATGCATAATTTCACATATTTATCTTTTCACTTGTAGTTTATTTTTGAGGTTTTATTTTCATTTCCTATTCTTTATCATTGATTATTTACGGCAACAGGTACCCATGATTGATAGAACGGTATGAACTGCATAAATACCTTAGCCTCATGCAAAATCTTTTTATATACACTTGGTAGTATAAGCCTTGTAGAAGGAGGAGAAGCTTTGGTTATTTTATAAGAATTATTAAACCTTTCAAATATAAATTTTAAAATGGGAATAATGCATAATTAACTAAAATATAAAAGTAAAACCTAAATACAATTTAACTGTCTCTCTAACTATAACATATTTAGGTAAGAAACAACTGAAGTACTATCATTAACAAAGCAACCAATAATAATACAAGCAGTCACATTTACCCAAGGATGACAACTTGACACCAATTTTAAAATAACTTGTTGTATTATAGTGTAAACACATAGATGTTGAAAGTACGAGTAACTTCTAAAGCTAAACTTTAAACTATAGAAGGTAGGTGTGACATCAGTCAGTGGTTGACAAAATTTATTTCTTGCTTAAACTGCATTTAGCAATGTACTTTGAACCATATGTTTCAAAAGGGGCAAGTAAGCTACATTCTCATCTTGACTTGCATATACTTGACTATCGCTTTATATTTCAAGCTTCACCAGATTTTGGCACTGTTTATAGCTCATGCATAATGTGACACAAACCTGTGAGATTTCATTGTCACTTTCAATGTTTCTTTTGAAATAAAGGAATAAAACTCAGATAATATAAAACTTTGAACTATAACTTACGTGATAATAATAATTTCATTAAAATACATGAATAGTAAAGTGTTTTAATTAAATTTTGAATCTAACTCAGTGACATGCACAGAAAGGAGTTTGAAAAGTGCATTGTTGTTAAACAAAATGGTTCAAGTCTTACTTCTCTGACATTTTCCAAGCTGTTGCACTTGAAACACCAACAAATTTACTGGCTCCTTTCTCAGTGACTGAAAGTACCAGTATTCATACGAGCATATAGCTTTTGCTCTTGTCAGCATTCACTTCATTAGGCTACTGTGCTCAATGAAGATCCCCACACAATATCTGGCAATTTTAGCAACTTGCTGTTTCTCTTGGAAAGGTTCACACAGTGCCAAGAGATCCCAGTCCTTCTCCAAGAAACAATTTTCCTCATTTAACTGTGACGTTGCTCTGGCTGGCAAATTTCATGTTGAAAATTTTACTAACAGCAAATGTACCCAACTAATGAAATATAACATTTTTATCACTTTACTAAGAATGATTTATCAAATTAGTATATTCATCACTGGGTTGATTTTGAGTTTTGATCTTTGTAAGTAACATGCTGTAATCATAAGTTAATATTAGTCAAATACCTCTCGTAGTGAACTCCAACCTGTGATAGTGATATCGACACTGATTGATAACAAATGTTGAGCCCTATAGAAACCTCCTTATTTAGTCTTAGGCCATTCAGGTCTTGCACCACCATAGTTGTCTGCATTTATTAAGTTCTTTCACTTATTTAAAGTGAAGTTAGTAGAGAGATGCTGGCTAAGAACTTTTAAGATTCTAGGCTGCTGCTCAGTCCCTAGTTTTGTGGCTTAAACTCCTGCATATCTTTTCTGATCTGAGAATCCCACATCCAAGAAAGGGTTCCTCTGAGCCTATTGCAGATCTTTCAACTGTGACTGTACTCCACCTTATTCTCTGAGAATGGACTAATTATAAGAACTTACAAATGAAAGTAAAGAATATAATAATATATAAACTATATTATGCTTGCTGTATCCATTGCAAAAGAAGCCTTTCAACTAACCATCAAGCTGATTGGGATATGACAAACAAAGTACTGGTCAAATTACTTGAACAACAACTTTTTAAATGATTGCTAGAATAAATTTTTGAATTGTAATTTTCAGCTTTGTGTAATATTATATTTAGTTTTGGGTGCTTCATCTTTCAGCATATAAACTGTAATTTTTAGGTTATATGATGTTGTTAGAAAAATATGTTCTGGTACATGTCAAATATCAATGGATTTGTGAAATCTTCCACTTATCACAGAGCCACTTGAGTAAGATAACTTCATGAAATAGATAAATTGAGTATACTTCAGTGATTTCTGCTGGGATGTTATGGGTCAGAGTTTGGGTAATATGTTAGTGAGGCCTTGGGCTCCCACTGCCTAGAGTTGTTTATTACCACCCCAGAAAAGAGGTTGCATATATAGCCTTGCTAAAAACATTTGAAAATGTTGTATTATGCAGTAATAACTAAAATGCTGAAAATCTTCAATTTCAAGAATGCTTTCTGATATTAAAAGTGACATATAAACATTCTTGATATAGTCATAATGTGGGAATAAATTGAAAAGTCAAAAAACCAAATAGTAACTTAAGAGTTTTATTTAATTTTCATAAAAAGTTATGAACTCTGGCATTACATTATTTTTCTGCTGATTAAAATCTAATATATATATCAAAGCCAGTTATCATTTTGTGTGCATGTAATGCTCATATTATGTCATTTTTAATTTACATTTGCACTATTCTTATTGGTATTTTGAGAATGTACTTAAGAATTGCTTTTATTTTTTAATGTGTGATTATTTTGTTTTTTTTATGATGAAGTTTAGTGAACAAAGGTCACTGAAGGAAGGGTGGGGATCCCTGGGAGTTTTTTTAGAAAACTCCAACCCACCTTTTTCGATGCATTGGGCAAGATTAGTAAATAATAATTTGTAGTTACACCTTGAGAGCATTATTATTTTATTTTTATATTTGTGATACTTGGAAGATTTTAGTAAATGGTAACTGTAGCCAGTGTTTGTAACTGTCATACATTTGTAGTTCCAGTGTGAATTTCATTGTCTGAAGTATTCTTGTAATATGTCATTATGGACAAGCTCTTACAACACTCTGATTGTGTTCTAAATTATTTGAAATTCAGTCCACCTATTCCATCTGCACATTTGTTCCGTATTTCAAGGAACATGTGAAAGTTTTCTCTGGCACTATCTGCACAGTTAGTTTTCCTTATTGCCTCTCTCTTTATTTGATTATAAACTAATACAGTGTCAGCTGTTGAAAGGAGCGTCAACCCTTTATGAGTTCTGGCTAAATGAGGACTCTGTCTTTGTTATACATCATTAATATTTTACATAAAGACTTCATTGTTTAGTATTTGGTAGTATTCCTTTTTGACAGATATTCTTCTTAAATGCTTCATATTATTTTGATTGGGATCATACATTTTGTCAGCTGTACTCAGAGTTATAGTATACTGATTATATTTCACAATTCAGGCACTTTCTGACAATATTATGTGTCATAACTTTTCATGAAATACACGAACAATATCCCTTCCTTTACCCAGAATAAGTCAGCGTTAACCACTGAGGTCAGTGGCTATAGTTTTAGCTAAATTATGAACTGCATTATATACAAGCAGTTTTTCATGAAAGTGATCCATAAGAGGATGGAGATTATTTTTTTTCTTTTATAAGAAAAAAGGACATTGGCTATTAATCAGGTTATAAAATATTTTCAAATCTCATTTGAAGTAATGATATTCATAAATAGCTTTCTTCATTGTTTTCTTATAGGGAAAAGAATAATGTTTACATTGATAGATCTGTAATGAAACTAATGAGGCTGTTACTTTCTCTCTGGTCCCCCGATGGGACAGCGGATAGTCTGTGAACTTACAATGCTAAAATGTGGAGTTCGATTCTCCACAGCAGATGCAACAGATAGCCCTATGTGGTTTTGTTCTAAAACAAACAATTTTCTCCATGTAAATGTAACAGCCCTAACTACACAGTTTTAATACTTGTCTCCTAACTATAAAAGAGTATGGATAAAAGATTCCCAAAATATATAAAATTGTAGATTTTAATGTGCTTCAGGAAAATTCATGAAAATCACCTTTGAGATTTGACTTATTGAAGTGAAATTAATGAAAACTAGGAATTTGATTTGCATATCAGTTACTTGGACTGCAATTATGCAGCACTGGCAATAAACCTTTTTTAGAATTCTGATTACAGTAGATGTATGTATCTGGTTGGATATTATAAAATTGTTTAGAATTCTGATTACAGTAGATGTATGTATCTGGTTGGATATTATAAAATTGTTTAGAATTCTGATTACAGTAGATGTATGTATCTGGTTGGATATTATAATAAACGAGGCGTGACAAACTTACGTAGTGGTGATATAGCTTAGGTTTCAAATTTATTCATTTTTTCATATTTATATGTTATTACTCTTTATTGTTAGAAAGATTTTTATTAAGTGTGATTTTTTGCTTTCAAGTGTCTTTTTGAAATAGAAAATAAAACTTTCTGTTATCCAACTACAACCTACTGTTTATTCTGTTCATGTAACATAGAATTAAATTATTGAAATCGTAATCATTGCACAAACAAAAATATAGTGTTACGATTTTTGGCAGAAAATATGTAAAAGCTAACCATACAGCTTAAGTTTCATTATTTTTCTCCTCTTAAATGTAATAGGTCCAGAGCTACGTCAAAAAAACAAAAACCAGATTTGACAAAATGAAGGTTGACACACTTCAAAAGGTTGATCTGCTATCGGCCTCTCGATGCAATATGCTCTCTCTTGCTCTTGCTACATACCAGTGTACACTGCTTCAATTTTGGGAGAAAACCTCTCACACAATGTCAGCTGTAGCTGAAAGTTTCAAAGGATATCAACATTATGAGTTCTCTATGTTAAAGGTAAGGTACAAAGAGAATATTGTGTTTTGAACATGGGGCCAGACATGGTCTAGTGGTTAGCATGATAAGCTGCAGATCAGGAGTTCCCTAATTTGCATCACAGTATGTTTTATGACTATGTTTTCTACTATCAGCTGTAAGGAATTATAACTGTAACAGTTAGATTTTTTATTTGGTTTGAAGTATGTGGGTAAGTAGTTGCTGACTGGTTGCCCTTTCTCTTATCAGAATGTATAAGTTGTGATTAGCTATATCTGAGCTGTTCAATTTAGGGGTTGTGTAAGGTGAATTTTAGATTGAAACTTCCATATACAATATAAAATATTCAGATATTATATAAATGTCAATGCAAAACTTGTTTTATATAGTAATCTAATTTTTTCCATATATATCTAATGTTTCATATTTATTGAGATGCTAAGATTTGGTTTCATGATGTAACTTCTAGTTAAAATGCTTGTCATAACAGTATAGGTACATATATATATATATTTCTAAGAAATGTTTTCGTAAGGTTTATTCTATAGCTTTATTTTATGTCTGTAAACTCCTGATCATAAGATAGAAATCAATGCATACAGAGTTATACAGTTACATATATGTTTCTAAGAAATGTTTCTTAATATTTAATCTGTAGCTTTATCTTATGTCTGTAAACTTGTGATCATAAGACAGGCATCATTGCATACAGAGTTATAAAAAAAGTTTGATTATTTTGGATGGTGTTTGTAAGAGATTAGTAAGCATGAGAAATGAAAGTTGGAAAGTGACTCTTCACAGTGGTGAAGTTTTGGTTATATGTGAGAATAATTGAAATTGATGTTATTTATACCATTCAACCAATCTCACAACAGTATTATTCGCATAACTTATCTATAGGTACTTATAATGATAAAAATACCTTGTTCAGTCTTTTGCTTTAAAATGCTTATGCATTACAGCAATAACAAAAGATTTGCTAGATATTCTCTAATATTTTTGAAAAATAAAGAAGATACATAGATATGGAATTAGAAGGAAGTCTGTAATTTATCAGTTAAAGACACAAGTGCAAGTCTAATGAAGTGACTCGATAGGTTAAGAATTTGTTAGTACTACATACTATTTACTAGCACCTAGTCAACAACCAAAGATGAGTATATGAAATGGCAAGGGAAAATTTCAAGGTATTTTTTATCATTTCTTTGATGAGCAGTATCTTCCTCATCCACCTATGCCTGTAAAGACATTCATTATTTGACAATTCAAATACAAGAAATTTGTTAAAAGGAGAAATATCTTTCTTATTCAGGGAGTCAGTAATCCACAAAAAATAAAGAGAAAATCATCTACACTTCTATAGCACAAAAAGTGAATATCTAAAGGTTTTTTTTGTGATACTATGCAAGGTTTCATTTAAAACTCATTTGGATCCAAATTTTGGACCCTTTCTTAGTGCCTAAAACTTCTCCAATTTTAGTAAACTGGCACAAACCAATTACCTATCTCTGAATGTAAAATGAACTCAAATCTATAATAGTAATGGACAGAAGTATGCCATCTGTTACTTGGTGGTTTTCTATAATTGATGAATTCCTGATATTGTCACAACAGTTATAATTAGTCAGAACTTGTATAGAATTTTAGTAATCTGCTGCTTCTTTTGAGTTTCTTTAGTGTTTATAGATTGCTAAGTATCTTAATTCCACTCTTGAATCCACCTAATGATTAATAATGTTGATTTTGAGTTCTGATCTATGTAGGTAGCTTTTTTAATCTTATATGAATATTGAATAACTGGCATAATTGTATAGTGCAAAAAAATAAACATTACAATTTATAACTGCCATATCTTTCATTAAAATTCTTTAACTCTTTCGACATGGGCTCAGTCTCTGGGACCGACCTCATAACCATTTTGTGCTTGTTATATTTTTCATGCTATAACTTTTAATATTTTAAGTGTATCTTTACAAAATTCTGTAGACTTATAGTAAACATTAGAAGCCTTTTTCACACAAAAAATAAGATTTTTTAATGAAGTATTTTGACTTATATTTGTTCATGAAAATATTGATTTTTTTTTTTAACTAGTCTGAGTGCAAAGTGATTTTTCATTTTAGGATTTAAAATACTTTTCTTTGTTTCAAAAATCTCGAATTTCATTTGCACAACCTCTGAAACCTCCTAAATACATATATACCTTTTCTTTTCAATAAAACGTTATATTTACCTGCTATGACATTTATTAATTGATTCTTCAGCCTGCAGACAACTCATTGAAGTAGAATGAAAAGAAAAATAGTAAAATCAGAAATATAATGAGCAGCTGTTTTCTTTTATGATCATGAAGTTTCAAAGTTCTTCCCCTGACAGTTTCAACTGTAAACATATCCCATATATTTTCTGTGTTTATTTTACTGTTACTGACAAAAAAAAAACAATAAATCACCACCAGTGTTATAAGTCTGTTTACTTACAACGTAATACGAAACTCTCGAGCACAAAAACACACTCGAATTAAGTGAGGTGACATTCCCCTTGCTCCAAGAACACAAAATGGGATATAGCAGTCTATAGTTCCTACAACACTTTCAACAGGAATTTCCTAGGGTAATAAAATTGCAATTAGAATGTGTAAAAACATTTATTATATGGTTCAAAGTTGGGCTGATCCAATAAACATTGTAGGTTCTGAGCCGTGCTTATCCAATTACATAGCAGGAGGCTTAGCTATGTGTTGGCCTACAAAATACAAATGTAACTATAATACGAGTATACTGAAAATTACAGTGATATTTCGGCTACTGTACGTTACATTTGTATATAAATATACATGTTACTATTTACTCATAAATGAATAAATTTTAGTTACATTACAAGCCTCATTTATTCTTTGAGTTTCTAATTCGTCAGTTACTTATACATGTTGTATGGTGGGCATAATAAAATGACAACTGGACGTGTTATGTGACACACAGAATCGATATTTAACATTTTTTTCTTTACATTTCCTTTTAAATTAAGATATTAAAATATATATATAATATCAAAATTTAAATTATAAACTACGTTTTGATGCCAATTTCATTGATGTAAGTAGTAAAAATATTATTTAATAAAATTTTGAAAATAACGCTCCAAAACGTCGTGACGTGCACTTTAACCTTCCCGGGTCAAATATGTATGTCATTAAACTTGGCATCAAAACATAGTTCATAATTTTAATTTTATGTAAGCTTTGATTTGTTAATTTAAAAAGGAATCATTTAAATAGATTCTCAGTCTTCACTTCTATATGTCACATGAGCCCTTTGCTCTGAATTCTAGGGTTTTTTTCTTCCCTTTGTGAGTCAAAAAGTCCACCAATTAGAAACACTAGCTGTAAATACTGACAGGCCAGAATTTAGAGCACAAACCTCCCACCTTTTTTATTTTCAGATATATCAATAAATTTGTTACACCTACCACAAAAAACCCTCCCACATCTTCATTGTTTTGAAATTTCTTGCTTACTCATGCTTACTTATCAGTGTTACATTTTTGTAAACAATAGAAAGACCATTTTGAGAGCTGCATGATTATAACATTTTTATTTTAATATATTTTGATAAAAGGCACTATTTTCCAAGCACATTTTATTAAGTGAAACCAAAGTCATTGCTCCAGTAAGTAATGAAATTTTTTAAACCTTTTTATAGGTAAGTTAGAAAGATAAATTATTGCAATTTTTCACCATTATGTTCTATTGTTTAAATTATTGTTTGTTTTTAAATTTCATATTTGAAAGCTATGTGAATTATTGTGGTTAATGAAGACCCAGATTCTGAGAGCAAAATGCCTCAATTTTGAAGTGCTGAATTTCTTATTTTTATTTTATTCGTTGATGTATATATATACATTTAAGTAACTTAAATGTGAAAATTAAAAACTTATTAGGTTAGGTAAGAAATGAATGAAAAAAATGTATAATAGTTTTTTTCACCTAGTTTTTCCTGTGTATTCTTTATTTATTTTTCTTGAGGCACGCAAACGTGCAGCTTAAAATAGCTGTAGGTAATGTAATTTGATAGCGTAACATGAGCCACACATTCCCCAAGTGACTTATATTTTTAACAGAGGTGAGAATAGTAGTTAGACACGATTGATGTATACTGTTACAAGTTTAAAGCTACTTAGAATAAACAATGTAGTTTCACATTACAATTTGAAGTCATTCTAGAAAGAAAAAAAGTGTTTAATTTGGGATTTTTTTTTTCTGTGGATACAAGTTTGGTCAAATTGGCCAACCTTGTATAGAGTTAGGATATAGAAAATAACAGATAAAGTGTATAGTTATATATAAAAAGACATTTAAAAGGTATTTAGGAGGTTTTACAGATTACACAAATCAAGTTTGAGATTTTTGAGTTTTAATTTTAACATAAAAATCACTTGGACTAGTAAAAAAAAGAATCTATATATTCACAGACAAATCTTTCATAAAAATACTTCACTAAAAATTGATTTTTTGTATGTAAAAGACATGTAATGTTTACTGAAAATCTGCCAAATTTTCTGAAGATACAAGTACTATATTAAAAGTTAGTAGTATCAAAACTATAACAAGTACAAAGTGATAGGACAGTTTGACTGATCCATTTTTGAGAGGGTTAAACTATCCTTTACTTTTAGCATTGTGAAATTTTCAGGTTAACTAATTTCCCTACAAGTATCAGATACAATAGATTAGATCAGGAAATAAAGGGGTAGTTTGTGTTTGATAACTAACCTGAGTTTCTTTATTATATGTGGAATAATGAGACTGGACAAGTTTAACAAAATGAAGGAACATAATCTTTACTACAAAAATAAACACACAGAAAATGCAGCTTTCTCTTAGTATAGACTTATGATCTTAAAGTATATCTTAAATCAAGGTTGAACTGAACTAAGAAAGTACATCTAAATTCTACGTATAAACTTGGTTTCTTTGTCCACTTTACAGTGCCATGTCATGAGCCTTCTTTTGTTACAGTAAC